AAAAAAAAAAAAAAAAAAAAAATGGGTGTGCTAAGCTCTGATAAAGACACCTTGGGGTTGGGAAGTAGAGAACATGGTCATCTGTACTAGGCCAACAAGGCATGGAAGTCTTGGTAAAGGCCTTGTACTCCCTAATCTATGGTCAAGTTGGCCAGTAATGGAAGGAATGAGCTTTGTTTTGAAGAACCTTTAGGAATACTCCACTGTCAGGTTAGTGGAGGACGTGCAAGGTCTAGAAATTGATTTTAGGAAGATCATTTGGTAATAGTTAGGGCCTAGATTGGAATTAGACAAGCCATCTAATAATCAGGATAGCCTGAGGATAACCAAGAATCTGGAGGATTTTGACTGGTAAAGGGAAGGGAAGACACCTGCCTGCTCTAGCTATCTGAATTCTGAAGGTGAGCAAAAGCTTCTTTCTGCACCTCTTTTCTATAGGGATTTTATGGCTCTCCCAGTCCTCCTGTGTTCATTTCCATCCCTCCATCTACATTCTAGTGTCTAGATGTGACATTTTTTCTTTCTTTCTTTTTAAAGCACTTTATTTTTCATCTACTTTGTTGCTATTTTGGTTAGTTGTCTGTAGAACAGCTTAAAACCATTCAGTAGTTATTCCAACCCATTCAGTAGCCTAAGCACTGGGAGCTACAGACAAGTTCTCTTCAGTCAGGAATTACTGGATAGGTACAGAGGTACCCTCATACCCTCAGACCAGTCTGTCCTCTCATGCTGAGCAGCAATGAACTCAAGAGTTGGCACAGTCCATTTACACTGGGACTTCTGCTTACCTTTCAGCAGCGGCTTGCTCTCCTCAGTCTCTTCAGGATCTGTGTAGAAGTGGGAATTAGGTGTAATCTTCCATGAATGCTCATGGGAGATGGTACCATGCATTTACAGAATCTCCTGGGTCAGGAACCACCACATCAGACTCCCTTGTTGACTAGGGTTGCAGTGTCCACATAGTACACAGGAGAATCTTAAACAGCAATGGTAGTCAGGTTGACACAAGATGCTTCTGTGAGAGGCTGGTGGTCACCTCTGGGATCACTCACCAACAGAAGGTATAGCTCTCAGAAGGCAGCCTAGACCTGGTTAGTACAGGTCCCAGAAGTGAAGTGGCCAACAATTGAAGTAGTTCCAGTAGCAGTGGCAAAGTTCAGTACAGCCCTCTGTTCAGTGTTCCTGGAGGAGATGATGCTGATATCAACAAAGTTTTCACAATGGTGACAATGGCACAGGATGCCAGCAAGAGCTTTTCTCAGGTCCTCTTTAGATTTATACTGTAAGCACCTTCACTCTTCCTTTAGTCAGTGTACTGTCCATCTGGAAATTGAGTTTGGTGACACCTAAGTGGGTTCCTTCTGCAAAGAATGTGAAGACATTCTCCTCCTCCATTTTCAGGACATCAGAGGCTCTGGACATTGGGTGAACCCTTTAAATTACAATGGGATCAAGATGGACTCCTCCCTAGGTAGCACAGAAAACTTGAATTTCTTTTTAGAAAGAATAAACTTGGGCCAGGCACAGTGACATACTCCTGTAATCCCAGTACATAAAAGGCTGAGGTACAGAATTGTGAGTTCCAGGCCAGCCTGGTCTGTATAAGACCCTCTAAGAAAAAGAAACCGTAAACTCAAAAAGTACATGTTTGTATGCTCAATATTGAGACCCTAAGCCTTCTTCCTAAGTCAGCTGCCCAGAACACTGCGACCAACCCCTTCCCCCAGGAATGTGATTGAACAACTATTCCCTGCATTCTGATCCACCTAGGACAGCGGGCCAGAAGTTCCCCATGTTGGGGAACTCCATCCGAGCCATTGTGGAAGAGCCACACATTCACATCAGCCCTATGGTCCCTGGTTTTGAGGCCATGAGGCCTTGGGGAAAAAATGTTTTAAGGGAAAATCTACAAATGGGTTCAAAATTAAAGAAACCTCCCTGCAAATAAAGTAAAAACAGAAGTGGAGAGAAAAGATTAAAAGTGATCAAAATTTGAAATCAAGAGTCTTAGAAAATAGGAAGAAATTATCAAAAATGAAAGTTTCTCAGAACTGGCAAATAATCTCTCAGATTAGTAGGACCACCCACAGCACATTGTAACAACAGAGGCCAGACATTTCCAGGTACATCTCAAGAATGTATGTGCTTGTCCTCTCTCCACTTTCTTATCCTCTGCCCTAGGTATATGGGGTATCAGGAGGGAGGGAAGACAGACAAGTGTCATCAATTTACCATCAGTTTATCAGGACCGCAGAGAATCTTACCTAGAGATGTCATTGGGCTCCACCCTTTGTCCCTCCTGCTGCATGGTAGATAGTAACTGTCTTCCTATCCCTGTCTGTGTGTCTTCCTTTTTAGTCCAGTCAGAATCTGGTTGTACCAATGCAGTGTCTGCAGCTCCTTGCCAGGCAGAACCCCAGCAATATGAAGTGCAGTTTGGACGACTGCGTAGCTTTCTCACTGGTAAGTCCTCACCATGGGGAGCCTTTTGTTTTTAAGAAACAAAATAATGTAGGTGTCCCTCAGAATCTGTTGAATTACAAGAGCGTGGTGGTATGTGCAAGGGATAAAAGAAGTTTTTACAAGAACAGAAAGAGGACTCTGGGTGTCTTATCCACTGTTTGTCCATGGCACTGATTTGTGACCTGTGTTGGGTAAATGAAAGCCAAGTCAGCCGTGGAGACAAGCATCTGGAAGTGTGGTGGGTGTGAAATGTATACTGTCTCAGAGTACAGACAAAGAAGTTAGACATTGTTGGGGGCTGGAGAGATGGCTCAACAGTTAGAGTACTGACTGCCCTTGCAGAGGACCCGGGTTCAATTCCCAGCACCCACATGGTGGCTAACAGTCATCTGTAACTCCAGTTCCAGGGGGAATCTGATGCCTTTATGTGACCTCTAAGGGCATTGCACGACATGGGTGCACTTACACACGTGCAGGCAATACACTCATACATATAAAATAAAAATAAATAAAATTATTTTTTTATTTTAATTTTTTTATTTTATGTGTATGAGTGTTATGCCTGCATGTAGGTAAGTGCACCCATGTTGTGCAGTACCCACAGAGGACAGAAGAGGCTTGTCGGATCCCCTGGAACTGGAGTTACAGACAGTTGTTAGCTGCCATATGGGTGCTGGGACTCGAACTTGGGTCTTCTGCAAGAATAGTCAGTATTCTTCACCTCTGAGCCATCTCTCCAGCCCATAAAATATTTTTTTTAAAAAGGAAGTTAGACATAGTCATTTAGGTAACAGAATGACCCACTCAAATACAGAATCAGCGGATATGTGTTCCAATCGTTCTCATTATCTGAGTTTTTAAATCACTTTAAGAAAAGCCGCTTATCCTCTTTGGAACTTCCACCTTCCTTGGATGTGAGATGAGGAGGCGGTTGTATAGAACCATGTCCTCTGGCCCTGATATGACTGGTGTCAACTTCAGGTTGAGGGGTTGCAGTAAGAGAACCATGTTGACTCTAGATACTAACTAATCAAGGTCTTATTGAATCAACTTTTCTATATAAAAAAAACACCTTGTAAGAATTTTAAAAAAAGCTTTCTTTGCCCTAGAAGGGCAAATTGTGGTAGTTAGCAGCAAATTATAATATAAATCATTTGAACTGGCCAGGTATGGTGGCACATGCCTTTAATCTCAGCTCTCAGGAGGCAGAAGTAGGCAGATCTCTGAGTTCAAGCTAGAAAGTTCCAGACCACCCAGGACTACATAGTAAAACTCTTCTCTCCAAAACAACAACAACAAAAATTATAAATAATTCTAATTTAGTCATGGTGGTACCCCAGTACTTAGGAAAATTAAGAAATAGTTCAACGACAAAGGATGTCTTCAGCGATGGGGGTGGGGGTGGGGATCAAGAATGGCTCACTACATAAAGGCACCTGCCTCCAAACCTGATGACCTGAGTTCAATCCCTAAGACCTACTTGGTGGGGTGGAAGGAAAGAACCAACTCCCACAAGTTATCCTTTGTACTCTACATGTGTCATAGCACACAGGTACACACACACTAAATGTAATTTTTTTAGGCTGTATTAAAAAAAAGAAATAATAAACAGTTAAAATACTTTGGGGATTAGAGAGATGGCTCATCAGTTAAGAGAGCTTGCTGCTTTCCTGAGGACCCAAGTTCTGTTCCCAGCACCCACATTGGGCAGCTCACAAGCACCACTAACTCCAGCTCCAAGGAATCAGACTGTGAACTTTAAAATTTTTTTTCTTATGTGACTGTTCCTTGTGTTAATCTAATGGCAAAAATGTAAATGAGAAAATAGATGTATGTGCCAAAGTAAGATTCCTTAGCTTTTCCGCTTTGCAGTTACCCTAGGTTACTTGACCCCCCATCATAAAGAACCTGCATCATTGGGGCTGGAGAGGTGGCTCAACAGTTAAACCACTGGCTGCTCTTGCAGAACACCTAGGTTTGGTTCCCAGCACCCACATGGCAGCTAACAGCCATTTGTAACTACAGTTCCAAGAGAATCCAATACCCCTTCTGTCCTCCACGGGCATTGTACCTCACACACATGTAGGCATAACTTGCACGCATAAAATTAAAATAATTAAAAAAAAAATAGCAAAATTTTAGAATAGTGATCAGCTACTTTTTGTCTCCACTAAGGATGAAAAGAAATAATAAGGACTGCATTTATAGTAAGCAAGGTTTTTTGTTTGTTTGTTTGTTTGTTTGTTTGTTTGTTTTGGTCACTGGCTCGTCAGGGAGGAGCTCTCTGTGCTCTTGTTCTGGATATGGTCTGCTCCATGCATGACTAAGGATGCTGGGATGACCCAATAACCGAATGGGTTTTCAGTCGTGGAGGTGGAGATGTACTCAAATGGTTTTGTCATTGCAAGCCACAGTGGGTTGTAGCGAAGCCTTGTCACGTTGGGTTAGGACTGCTGAAGTTTGTACTAGTGCGCATTTTGATTCTTGCGTCCCTTTTCTCATTTCCTTTTGGGTTGTGGATGCTTTTCTGAGATATTTGCCCAGGCCCCTGCTGAGGATTAGTTCATGGTTTTTTAAAATGGTCAGAAGAATGTTAAATGTTGGCTTACAGCATTTTTATTTTTAACTTATTTAAACGCCCACAAACAGTACACTAAATGTAAAATCTTTGTATTTCTGTACAAAATCCATACTCGTTACAGTGAAGGATAAACAAAACCCATAAAGTTCAAATTAACAGTAGTTGTAATAGGTAGATTTTGCTAGGGTGTCTGGTTAGCACTGTGCTCTATAGGGGGTTGGTCCTTCTGGTCCTGACTGGACTGTGTGGCACCTCTGCCCTGAGATGGCTGCCCTCTCAAATTGACTGAGTAGCTACAGAGTCCTGCTCACAGACACTGCCGTCATTTGCACACATACATACTTAGGTACCACATGCACCTATTCTTATCATCTGTGACAGTTAAGCTAGACTTTTTTTACATTCTTTGTCACCAGCTGTGGTGGTACACACCTTTAATCCCAGCACTTGGGAGGCAGAGGCCAGCCTGGTCTACATAGTAAGTTCCAGGTCACCTGGGGCCGAAGGGAAACAAAAACATTCTTTGTCAAAGTTTCATGGCATTGAAGTCTCAAACTGGTTAAGTGGTCTCAATGACAAGAAAATGGCTATAATTTGTCACTGCAAAGGGGAAGTTTTGCGTTTTCTATCAAGGAAGTTGAAGCTTTGAATGAACAGTGCCATCATCACATAGGATACATCAGCCTAGATGGCTAACCAGCTTTGATTTTACTCTTGGCCACACTGCACATACATTACCTCACCCTCACCCCCACTCCATGCTCACAGGTTGAGTGTTAAGACCTTGTCAGAACGTCTTGCTAAGTGCAATCCCGAAGATTTTGTACGGACTTGTGTTCCTTGGTTTAAGCTTATCAAGTTGAAAGTCTTTGTGAAGAACTTAGTCTTCTATGAACCCCTCTAAGGATCCTCAGAAGCATGGGATTTCTGATTTGAGAAACAGTAGGGAAGATGCTAGAATGAATGCCCAGGTACAGCTGCTGAGCTGTCACAAGGCACAGCTAAGTCTCTCACCTTGGCTGGACCTCAGAGTCTATACTCTTCCTTCTTTGATGAGAAAGACTTTGAAACTCCAGATTCTGTGTGGCAGAGTATGGGGCATAAGAAGGGTCCTCTGTTCCTCCAGTGTTTCTGAGTATGAGTCCTCTGTTTCTCATTGCAGATTCTGACTCCCAGTACAGCCACGAAGTGATGCCTCTCCTCTACCCTCTCTTTGTCTACCTCCACCTCAACCTGGTCCAGAGTGGCCCCAAGAGCACAGTGGAAAGCTTCTACAGCCGCTTCCATGGGATGTTTCTGCAGAATGCAAGCCAAAAGGATGTCATCGAGCAGCTGCAGACCACACAGACCATCCAGGACATTCTATCGAACTTCCAGCTTCGCTCATTCCTGGACAACAAGTATGTGGTCCGTCTCCAAGAAGACAGCTACAACTACCTTATCCGCTACCTCCAAAGCGACAACAACACTGCCCTGTGCAAGGTGCTGGCCGTGCACATTCACCTGGACGTGCAGCCTGCCAAGAGGACAGACTACCAGCTGTATGCCACTGGTGGTTCCTCCCGTAGTGAGAGCAGTGGCCTGGAGCCTCCAGATGTGCCCAGCCCTATTCTGCAGAACGAAGCCGCACTGGAAGTCTTGCAGGAGAGTATCAAGCGTGTCAAGGATGGACCTCCCTCCCTCACCACCATCTGCTTCTACGCCTTCTATAACACAGAGCAGCTGCTGAATACTGCAGAGATCTCCTCTGATAGCAAACTGCTGGCTGCCGGGTTTGACAACTCTTGCATAAAGCTCTGGAGCTTGCGATCCAAGAAGCTGAAATCAGAGCCCCACCATGTAGATGCATCCCGCATCCGCCTGGCTTGTGACACTCTGGAGGAAGAGGTAGGAATGCCACTTTTTCTTTCTAATACTTCCTTCCTGACTATTAGAGGACTCTTCCCAAACCTGACCTGTCTCTCAGGAAACAGTAGTCCATAATTCCCTCCTCTGATAGCCAAAACCAGACTCTGGTTCGATGATGTAGCCGTTGATTCCTCTTCATACCTGACATGAATAGTAAAGCCCGTCTCCTAACATGGACCTAGCATTATTAATGTGTGGGCAGTATTTAGCTCTGAGAAGAAGATGCCACCGCTAAGCCTGATTAACACATCTTCAGCTGATGTTGACATAGTTGTGATGAAGTTAAATGTTAAGCAGTGTGTGCACATGTGCATTTCACAGATACAAACTGAGAAGCAAGATAGCTAGCATAGAGTCTGCATTTAAACAGTAATGAATGGTGTCTTCACCCACAGAAATCTGGGCTGTTTCACAGCCTTGTCAGCATAGTAAGGACATTTCTGGAGGTCAGTTCTCTGGCTTTAAATGGCATGGGTTGTAGAACTATGGTGTCCCCTCAGTGCAGGGACCTATTGTCAAGTGGTTAGTCTGGGATGGTCATGAAAGGGGCAAGCACAGCAGCCTGAGTTTCAGTTTATTAGAGTTACTACTGTCAAAAAAAAAAAAAAAACTTGGACTGTGGGAGGCTTCACAGTCAGCTTCTCTTGAGCATCCACAAAGCTAGAGCCCAGGTATTTCTGTCCTCTTACCACTGATGTGCAGATAGTTTTACATCAGGGCACTTAGGATAAAAAATACTTTACACTGGTTTAAAAAAATGAAGAGTCAAAAGTCACTTTGGGTAAGATGCAGCAGCTAATGAGACTGTTGCCGGGATTGTACACAGGAGTGAGCCCTGGCCTTCCCCATACCTCATTCTGAGTCTACCTTGCCTTTGAACGTCTGCTTCTTGCCACTGAGACAATGCAGTGAGGGATTTTGTTAGGGTGAATTAAGTCTAGTTTCTAGGGCTCTCCAGAATTCTCCAGAATACTTGTGCACTGTACTTACATTCAATTTTCAGACTTCTCTTTGCACTGAAGACTACAGTAGCTGCTACCATCAGTTGAGGGATACTGCCCTCATTTACTTTCAATTTTCTATAAATTAAAAAAAAAAAATTATTCCTATTGACCTTACTAACTTTGACAGTACAAACTTTGGAGATTATTTGGGTTGTTAATATAAAGGGTAATAGCACTGTGGTGTTAAGCATGGAAAAGTGTATTTGAAGACCTGGGTTAGTATCTCCCAGGACTGAATGAACTTAAGTGTCACTGGAACTAGGAGAGGGGCAGAACAGAACTGATTGATAGCCTGGCCCTGTCTGCACAGTGTTCGGTGCTCTAGCTAGGGTGATGATGGTAGAAAAGGAAGCAAGAGGGAGCCCAGTGATTGGGTTACATGGAGGAGGAGAAGGGGACATGTACATTGGGTGCCTACATCCTAGGCCAGGGCTGCCATGCAGTGGCAAGAAGGGCTGTCCATCAGTACAAGAATGGCAGATTTGCTTGATTGTCTCTGCTTTGATTATACTCATACTGAAAGTGCTGTCTTTGGCCTCCGCTTTAAGAGGAACTTCTTGAAGCTGGACATGATGATACATGCATTTTATCCCAGCACTCAAGGGCCAGAGGCTGGCAAATCTCTGAAGGGTTAGAAGCTCACATGCCTATAGAAGCCAGGAAGGGAAAAAATGGTGAGGCCAGTGGGAAATTACAGGTGAAGATTAGGAAATAAGAAAAAACCACAAAACCACATAAAAGACCCAGTTAACAATCTCTGCTTTTAATTTTATTTATGTGTGTGTGCCTCCATGATTTTATGTGTCCCACATTCATGCAGGTGTTCACAAAAGCCAGAGGGCATCAGATCCCCTGGAGCTGGAGTTAAAAGTTGTGAGCCACCTGATATGGGTGCTGGGAACTAAACCCAGGTCCTTTGGAAGAGCAGTAAGCATTCTTAACTGGTCAGCCTTCTTTCCAGTCCTGACTTTAATATTTTTAATCTAGTATGGACAAAATATTTCCGTGTGTAGGCAGTATTGATTCATATGCTAAAATATTTCAGTTTGTAAGCAGTATTGATTCATATGCTAAGCAGTGACTTCCTTGCTTTTGATTCTTTTTTGCTGTTTTTGAGACAGGGTCTGCCTATAGCCCCAGCTGCCCTGGGGACCAGGGTCTGCCCTGTAGACCAGGCTGGCCTCGAGCTCACAGAGACCTGCCTGCCTATGCCTTCATCCCTACTGCTTTCAATTCTTTTCTTACAAGACTAGATATAACTGCTTTTCTTCTTGATAGTTGAGAACAAGGTTAAAGTTCAGACAGCCAAATATAGACTTGGGGAAGGCTTGGGTGTCAGCTAACATGACATTCTGGGGTATACTCGCATGGGAGCAGACAGCCATAACATGGAAGATTTAGGGACCCCATGAGGATGTGGTAGTGTTTGCAGACAGCTCATTTATCTTTGAATTTCTGTTTATGCATGTTTTATAATGTAGGTCATAAAGTTTATTACTGTTTATAAGTATTCTTTACTCATCAACATTGCATATGCCTATTGACTACAGAAACAGCACTAGAGGGAGCGCTGGAGTATGGTCCTGTCAGCAGGAGAGGTAGTGCAATAGGGCTGGCCCTATTGGCCTGAGCTGAACCACATCAGAAACCATGTCTGGTTATTTTAGACTATGGCTCTAGTGAGAGCAGAAGTTCTGGTATCTGTTTCTAGGCCAAGGCCTAGGGAAGGTTGTCACAGTTCTGGTTTATCTGTTCCATCTCCAGGCAGATGGTCCCTGCAAACCCCCAAAGTGAAGGCTCACTCCTATAGTTAGCTACATGTTCCAGGCGAAGACCACTCACATCTCTAATCCACAGTTCACATCTAAAAAATCTGTGTTTAATTGGCCTGGGGTCACTTTTGTTCCCACAGTCCTTACATAAACTTCCTTGTACAGAGCAGTGAGTCATATGTGAAATGTCAGACCTCTGAGAAATGAAAACTCAACAGTTAAGAGCACTAGCTGCTCTTGCAGAAGACCTGGGTTCGATTCCCAACACCCATATGGTAGCTGACAACATCTGTAACTCCAGTTCCAAGGGAGTTCCCACAGTCCTTACATAAACTTCATTGTATAGAGCAGTGAGTCATGTGTGAAATGTCAGACCTCTGAGAAATGAAAACTCAACAGTTAAGAGCACTAGCTGCTCTTGCAGAAGACCTGGGTTCGATTCCCAACACCCACATGGTAGCTGACAACATCTGTAACTCCAGTTCCAAGGGAATCTGATACCCTCTTCTGACCTCCAAGAGCATTACATTGACATGGGTACATTTACAGCAATACTATACTCATTCACATTAAAAAAAATAATAATAAATAAAAGTTTTGTTTTTTGGTCTTTTTGAGACAGGGTCTCCCTGTAGCCTGTAGCTATCCTGGATTCACCATGGAGACCAGGCTTGCCTCGAACTCAGAGATCCACCTGCCTCTGCCTCCCGATTGCTGGGATTAAAGGCATGCGCCACCATGCCCGGCCTTAAAATATTTTTTTTTAAAAAAAGAAAATTGCAGGGCTGGAGAGATGGCTCAGCAGTTAAGAACACTGGTTGTTCTTGCAGAAGACCCAGGTTCGAATCCCAGCACCCACATGGCAGCTAACAACTGTCCATAACTCCAGTTCCAGGAGATTCGACAGGTGCACTGACCTACATGCAGGCAATACACACATACACATAAAATAAAAATAATAAATAAAATTTTTTTAATTGCTAATATTCTTGATAACACCCAATGGGACCCTGAGTTCCCAAATGCTTTTACACTTCTAATTCAGTGTCTACTTTTGAGTACTCACAGACACCAGTGTTTACTTTAACTTGCTCAAACGTGTATACATTTGTGGCAGTCCTTTCACTTTGACTTAATAGTTCCAAGTAGAATAAAGGACACCCTGCTTAAGAGGTGCTCTTTTCCTAAATAGGAACCAACAAAGCCAAGTATTTAAGAATCTTGGTCATTGTCTGGTGTTAAATTAAAACCCACTGTAGTGGAGACTTGCAGCTGTGGTATTCAGGAGCTTTCCTGTGAAGGAGTGGAGGGGAAATGGATTTGGACTGTGGCCTTGTGGGGAAGGACTGTGGGAGCAGACTCTATTTCCAAGTACCATTGTGGACATCCCTCTGTCCTCATGTACAAGCAATTCTAAGAGTGACATGAGTCATTTGGCCTGCTAAAGTCATTCTCATCATGTGGTTTGTTGCTTTAGGAGACAGGTTGAGATTCTCCATCTTTATTTCCTTTCTTTTCTCTTTTGGTTGGTTTTGATTTTTTTGAGACAAGTCTCACTCCTTTGCCTAAAGTTCAAGGTGACCCTCCTCCCTCAGCCTCCCAAGTGCTGATATTACAAGTGTGAGTCACCATACCCACTGTCTTCATTTCTTTTGAGATACCATAAAGTCCTCCAGAGTGTTTTGAAACTTTGTAACCCCATCTGGCCTTGAGCTCATGATTTCCTGCCTCAGCTTCCCTGATACTCAGATCACAGGTGTGCACCACAGTGACTGTCTCCATATTCCTTTAAACGGAATAGAAATGAAGTAACTTGGCTTACGAAAGTATAATGAGAGCTGATAGCTGAAGACAGTGCGACAGGAGACGTTAGGAACTCAGTATCTATTCAACTTAGTCTTTTCAAATGATACCCATCAGAATCACTAGTGGAAGTCACCATAGGCTTGCCTTTTTAGTCGGAGCCTTGTTCCAAGAGTAAGGCCCATAGACAGAATAGGCTTTTGTTTGTGTCTCTGATGTGGCCTGTGGTTAGGTCATGCCCTCTGTCCTTTACTGACAGATGCTCTTTCCCAGGTGGACCCTCATATCTACTTTTCCCCTTCTTGGAAATATTTTCCCTGTGAGAGCAGTAAATATTTTCTTTTTGTGTGTCCCACCCCTTGACCCCCCTGTTCCAGGAGAATGAAGAGGATACTGTGGGCACAGAAATGAAGATCCTACGGGGACACTGTGGCCCAGTGTATAGTACACGATTCCTTGCAGACAGCTCAGGACTGCTATCTTGTTCTGAGGATATGTCCATCAGGTACTGGGACCTGGGCAGCTTTACCAACACTGTGCTGTACCAAGGTCATGCCTACCCAGTGTGGGACGTGGATATCAGCCCGTACAGCCTGTACTTTGCCAGTGGGTCCCATGACCGCACTGCCAGACTGTGGTCTTTTGATCGGACGTACCCACTGAGGATATACGCAGGGCACCTGGCAGATGTGGACTGTGTCAAATTCCACCCCAACTCAAACTACTTGGCCACAGGCTCCACTGACAAGACTGTGCGACTGTGGAGTGCCCAGCAGGGAAATTCAGTGCGACTCTTCACAGGTCACCGTGGCCCCGTGCTCTCCCTTGCCTTTTCTCCCAACGGTAAGTACTTGGCATCTGCTGGCGAAGACCAGCGGTTGAAGCTGTGGGACTTGGCCTCCGGGACCCTTTTTAAAGAACTAAGAGGCCACACAGACAGCATCACCAGTCTGGCCTTCAGCCCTGACAGCGGTCTGGTGGCCTCTGCCTCTATGGACAACTCTGTGCGCGTCTGGGACATCAGGAGCACATCCTGCAATGCACCTGCTGATGGCTCTTCTGGTGAGCTGGTAGGCGTGTACACTGGGCAGATGAGCAATGTCCTGAGCGTGCAGTTCATGGCCTGCAACCTCCTCCTGGTGACTGGAATCACACAAGAAAATCAGGAACATTAAGTTTTTATTCAGGTGGCAGACTGGGTGGGGCCAGAAGCCTTTGACCCCAGCCCAGGACATGCTGAAACTGCATCAGTGATTGCAAAAGAGCCCTCCCCAACTCCTCCCTCAACTGACACAGCCCCAGTGCACTAGATTCCAGGTGAGAGCCAGGATGCTAAAAAGCTCACGGCCTCCTGGTCTTGTGTAAGCACCTTCCTGTTACTCCCTCTCAGTGCGTTGACTGAAACAGTTGCTGAGCCCTCCTTGGGACAGCTGTGGACAGTGTCACCTGTGGCCACCCCTTGAGGAGGGAAGTGGAGACAGGAACTAGAAAAGAGAGGGCTGGTCTAGCAGTCTTCCCTTTTGCAAAATGATAGAGAACCAGGATTTTTTATTATTATAATTATTAATATAAATGAGAAAAGGAAACCTAGCACTGGCAGAGGGTGGCTCTGCTTTTATTTTTCAGGTTTAACTTCTGGCACTGGCTGTTATACTTGGAATTTTGAGGTTCAGGGAAATTTAGACTTTGGTAGCCAAGTATATCAGGAGAAAGTGGCATCTCTGGTGTAGAGGTGTAGATTGGTCCCACCAGATGATGAGCTTATGGGAGCAGGCGGGTGGCTTAACTGAACACTGGGCTCCTGCGGTGATGGTGGGAAAAAGATTCTTTTACTGACTGTGCTTCTGCCAGTATTTCCCTACCTTGGAAAAAAAGGTCATGGTGGGCAGAGGGTAGGCCTCAGTGTTAGAGCACTTGTCTTGATTGCAATAAGGTTCCATCCTAGCACCAAACACCAACAGTAAAAAAAAAAATTATGATAAGGAATAATTTGGAGTAAGTCACACAGTAGATTTAGGAAATGCTGAATTTCCAGTAACTGTTTATTCTGAGATGTGGAACTGCAGTACCAGTGTAGTGAACACGTGGATGAATCATGAGTACGCACTCACTCATATCAAACCATGCTCTAAGGGCAAAGCAAATTTTAATGTGTGGAAAAGGATTAAATATTTCTGTTTTCTGAAAAGAGTTATTTTGTATTTTGTTTTCTATTAAAATGTATTTAGTTTCAAAAAAAAAAAGTGTCCACATCTTATTTATACTCCTAAAATGGGCAGGTACCTGGTTTGTCCTCGGAGGGTGTTCTTCATGTGTATGCATATATTGCCTGGGTATAGGTAAGTGCACCCGTGCCAGGCATTGCCCGCAGAGGACAGAAGAGGCTGTCAGATCCCTTGAAACTGGAATTATAGACAGTTGTTAGCTGCCATGTGGGTGCTGGGATTCAAACCTGAGTATTCTGCAAGAACAATCAGTGTTCTTAACCGCTGAGCCATCTTTCCAGCCCCCCCCCCCCACTTTTTTTTTGTTTTTGGCTTTTTTTGAGACAGGGTCTCCTTGTAACCCCAACTGTCCTGGAACTCACTGTGTAGACCAGGCTGTCCTCAAACTCACAAAGATCAGCCTGCCTCTGCCTCCCAAGTGCTGGGATTAAAGGTGTGCACCACCATGCCTGGCACCAGCCCCTTTATTATTTTTATATCCCTGATTGCCTGCTTGTATGAAAGTGCACCCATGTTGTGCAGTGCCTGAGGAGGTCAGAAGAGGGTGCCAGATTCCTTGGAACTGAAGTTACAGACCTTTGTTAGCCATGTAGGTGCTGAGATTTGAGTTCAGGTCCTCTGTAAGACCAGTCAGTGCTCTTAACTACTGAGCCATCTCTTCAGCCCCAACAGCAGTTGTGCTGTTTATACATCCAACATTGACAACTGCTGACTAGAGACATTTATTTAGCAAGGTCTTGAAAATTCTCATTGTAAACTATAAGGCCAAATAACAATAACTCAAATTCTTGAACAATTTCAAGATGGGTGTGGTGGCACACGCCTTTAATCTCAGCACTTGGGGGGGGAAACGACAGGAGGAGTCAGGAGTTTGAGGCTAGCCTAGACCACATGGGACCCTTGATTCAAAAAAACAAATGAACGAACAATTCTGGATAAAAGACTCATTCAGAGAATAAAATGATGTCAAGGGTGAACTAGATTGGCTTTAATACTTTATGGACAGACCCTGGGATCAGGATTTAGGGGTGTTTACTGTCCTTTTTAAAAAAGATTTTATTTATTGTTTTTATTTTATGTGTATCCATGTACTGCTTGCACATAGGTAAGTGCACCCATGCCATGCAATGCCTGCGGAGGACAGAAGATGCTGTCCGATCCCCTGGAACTGGAGTTACAGACTGTTAGCTGCCATGTGGGTGCTGGGATTTGAACCTGGGTCTTCTGCAAGAACAATCGAGTCATCTTTCCAGCTCCTCGCCCCCCTTCTATTTTTGAGACAGGTCCCTGTAGCCCCAGCTAGCCTGGAACTTACTATGTAGACCAGGCTGGCCTTGAACTCAGAGATCCACCTGCCTCTGTTTCTGGAATTCTGAGATTAATAAAGGTGTGTGCCCCCATGCCTGGCTGAGCATTCTGACTTGCCAAGAGAGAGCTGTGCACTGAAATCCTCAGGTTAGTTTGGAGGTAGTAGACAGGTAAAACTGGAAGCATATAGTTTATTTTCAATTTTCAGAAAAATACAGTATACTGTGAAACATAATTTTATGGCAAAAAAAACAAGAATTATAAGGAAATAAATACTCTAGGGTGTTAAGTCTTTTTTTTTTAACTTGAGCCTAGAATGTTAATGAGATGTTTCTTTTTCATAAAACTCATGTTTTTGATGCATCCTTTGGTAGGTTTGGCTGACAGCATCACTTTCCATGTGTTCTGGGAAAGTCTGGAATGTGTTCTCAACTGAAATAAGGTAACTCTCAGATTATAGGCTAGATGTTGGGAACTGAAGCTATGACTGAGGATAATGAAAGGTCTGTGTGTCAGTGCCAAATTCCCTTGGCCTAGCATAGTCTACATTCACCTTACCACTTCTATCCCAACTGTAGTTTAATGCAGGATTTCAGTCACTTGGTTTTGTTTCATTTTGCAAACTGATTGCAGTATAACATAAATTATCCTGCACAGCTTTCCCAAGCTCAGAAGTATTAAAAGTGGTACGTGTACCAGTCCTGGTAGCACACACCTGTATGCCCAGCACTTGGAGGCAGAGGAAGGAGGATCACTGTAAGAGGCCAGCCTGAGCTACATAGGAAGAGCTTGTCAGAGAGAGAACAAGCACTAATAGGAACCCATTCTATTGAGGATTCTGTGTCTGACACTGGTTTTGCCTCTTTGCGTTTGTCCCCATGTTTACAGTGACTTGGCTGCAAAAGAAATGTACCAAATGTAGACTTCTAATTTTACTTTTTACAGATTGGTCGTTAACACGTGAATTAAGAGATTTGTCTGCACTTTAACCTGTTACTTAGTGACATGCTTTAGTGAAATGCCTATTTTCTATACCAGCCCACACCAACATTCTTGTTCCTGACACCGTGAGAAAGGAAAGGTCTTCATCATGGAATGTTGTTTCACAGTATTGGTATTCTAGCCACCCAAGTCACTTGTGCTTCCTGTAAGTGACTCCAGTTCACCAAGCCAGATTTGAGTTATTTCTTTGGTGCTATCATTGCTCCTGATAGACTTCCCAGGAAAGTCACACCACACCTTGGTGTACAGGGCCTTTGTTTAGCATTATTTAAGCATAGCTAAAATCATT